TGTGTGTGTGTGGCCTGCATACGTGGTAACAGAAGACAAACTATTGTGGAAAAAAGCAGCTGACGCTGGAGGTGACATGTGACACTGCAGAGGACCCCTCACGTCTTCTGTGAAGTTGCTGCCTCTGATCATTACACAGCCTGTCAGTGGCTGCTACTTGACTGCTTTATGCAGTTATTTTTAAGTAGAACCCAAACAATGCCTTTCTGTCTTTTGATACTGTTGGTTTGAGTTTTAGTTTTTTGGAGACAGGGTCTGGCTATGTGGCCCAAGGACGGTCTCGAACTCCTGCCTCTGCCTCCTGAGAGCTGAGATGACAGGCCCGTTCCCATCCCTTCCTGTCTCTATACCTCCCTTGCAGCACGCTCAGTGAGTGACACTGCCAATGTAAACAGCTTAGAGAACTGCAGAGGGGAAGCTAACTAAAGGTCTTGAAAGTATGATCTGCTGGTCAGGGAGGAAACTTTTCCAGTAACATTTATAGTTGTACTCAATTGCAGTACTGTGAGGTGCTGGGACATTGACAGGACACCTGCTTTGGCAAGCCTATTTTTGTGGAATGCAGCAAAGGATTTGTGTGTGTGCACGTGTGCACTTATCAGGGTTTTAATTCAGGGCTTTATGCTCATACTTGGCCTTCTTGTTCTCAGTTGGCATGCTACAATACCATTTGAGCCACAATTCCAGCCCAGCAGGTGTAGAGTTTGGCAGGAGTGGAGGATTGAGTAATATAGTTAAGAATTCTGTGGAGAGATAGACTGAGGACAGCATGAGACACTACTGGGAGAGGCTGGAGAAGAGATGACTGATAAAAATGCAGCCAAGAACTATGGGAAAAAGTAATATATGATTTCCAGTCAAGCATTATAGCTCTTGACCCATACTTACAGCTCTTTTGCTTATATTTTGTTTTTCAGATAGAGTCTCACTACGTTTGCCTAAGATGCCCTTGAACTCAATACTCCTACTTCAATAACTCCTGCCTCAACATCCAGAGCAGCTCGAATTACAGGAATATGTCACTGTGTCCTTCCTCCTAGCCTTTCTGAATACGTGTATCTCTTGGACAACCATTCCCTATGATGTTTTATTTCACATCTTCCCCCCTTCCCACCATGTGAAAACACCTTCATGAATAAGAGTCATGAAATAATGATAGAAAAGTAGACATTGAAAATAAAATTGTCTTTAATGGAAACCACAGTTTATGTCTCTTATTTAAGATGGGGTCTGGGACAAACGGGCAAAACAAATATTTGCAGGGAATAGTCATTTGAGTTATTGCATTACCTTTTAATTTATCTTTAACGGTTTCTGATAAATGTTTTGTGAGCTGAGGCATTTCTTCTGGAGAGTATTCAGCATTTGTCAGTTCCTCCTTGAGCACAGCATGGATACAGTCTTTAACCACGGAGGGCCTGAACCTGATGAAACAATTCAGTAACAGGTGTCAGTAACTCCAAACCCCAACCTACCTGCATACCTTAACTTTCCTCGGGTGCTTGTCTGTCTGTTTGTTTTTGTTTAGTACTGGGGTTTGAACTCAGGCCCTTGTACTAGCTAAGAAAGCACTCTACTACTGAACCACATCTCTAGCCCTTTTTTTTTTTTTTGCACAGCTTTATTCCTTTTTTGGTGGTTAATTGGAGATAAGAGACTCATAGACCTCAGTTATTTTTGAGACAGTCCTCCTTTCTTCCAAAGCCTGTGGTCCAGGTGGACCACAGTCCGCCTATATTATGCTTCCTGTCATAACTAGAATGACAGGCACATGCTATAATTCTCAACTTCTTCTGTTGAGATAGACTCTAATAGACTTGTCTGCTCAGGCTATTCTGGAATAGCAATCCTCCCAATCTCAGCTTCCCAGATAGCTGGGATGACAGGAATGTACCACTATTAGTTATTAGTTGAGAAGGGGTCTTATACGTATGTCTGGGTTGGCCTCAAAATGTCACCCTCCTGATTTCAGAGTTGGTAGGATTACAGTTGTGAGCCACCAGTTTTTTACCTTCAGTACCCTTAAGTTCTTCCTCTTTTTTGTATTTGTTCATTATAAAAATAATATAAAAGCCAGGTACCAGTACCAGTGACTCACACTAGTAACCCTCACTACTACTCAGGAGGCTGAGATCTGAGAATCACAGTTCTAAGCTAAGACAGGAAAGTCCATGAGACTTATCTCCAATTATGCATCAGAAAACCGGAAGTGGTGCTATAGCTCCAAGTGATAGAATGCTAGCCTTGAGTGAAAGGAACAGCCCCCACTCCCTGAGTTCAAACCTCATAACCAACCAACCAACAAACAAAACAACAACAAAAAACAAAACCCATGGCACAGCCCAAACAAAAAAGAAATGCACTCATTACCTGACTTACGTAACTGTAACCCCTCCCTGCATCACCTTTATAATAATAAAATTTTAATTTTTTAAACATAAAATTTTAGAAAGTAATATAAATAAAAATACCTCAGAACAAATCATATCTCAAATTCATATCTACAGCCTACAATACTCCTCATTTTAATACCAACACACTCCATCTGGATGTCAAACAGGATACCTTGAACAGATCTTTTCTCTCCTCTAGACTGGGTCTATCTCAGAAATGTAAGTCAAGCTGGGCACAGTGGCTCAAGCTTATAACCCTAGCTACAAAAGAGGCAAGGGACACCATGATCTGAGGCCGATGACTGAGCAAGGTGGTGTGTGTCTATTGATCCTAGCTATGAGGGAAGCACAATGGCTAGGCCCAGTGACGAACATCTGTCATCACAAAGTACAAGTCACAAAGTACAAGTTGGAGGACTGCACCCCAAGGCACTTGGGCATAAAGTAAGACCCTGCATTGAAAATAACCAAAGCACAAAAGGGGCTAGAGGTTTAGCTCAAGTGGTAGAGCACTTGCCTATAGAAAAGAAAAAGAGAGAGAAAGAGAGAAAGAAATAGTAAGCCAGGTGTCAGGGGCTCACAGCTGTAGCCCCAGGAGGCTGAGATCTGAGGATCTCAGTTCAAAGCCAGCCCAGGCAGGAAAGTCCTTGAGACTCTTATCTTCAATTAGCCACCAAAAAGCTGGAAGTGGAGGAAATTGGAAGTTGCAGATCAAGTGGTAGAGCACTTGCCTTGAGCAAAAAAATACAAGCAAGAATGTAAGGGCCACAAAGAAACATAGGTCCCATGGTTTCCCTTATTTGCAATATCTAGTATATGTATGAGTCAAGCGGAAAAGGTCAGATAATGTGATGTCAGGAAAATGAACCCTTAGATATGTATTTTAATGTTTTTTTCTTTCATGCATGTGTTTTGAACGCATTTATAAGATTATCTCTTTGTTGCTTTGTATGTCCCTCCCCCACAGTATAACCCCTGCTTTCACTATATTTGATGTCAGTATAACTTGTGGAGGAGATGGGGAAAAACCAGTTGTTTAAGGCAGGTGGACCTGTTGCAACAATGAGAAGTAGAAGCTGTCATGTCCAAAACGAGCTTTACAATGTCGGTGGGGGGGGGGGGGGGTAAGGGGGGGAAGGAGAAGGATTGGGTTGGGGGGGGGGGGGGGGAGGCTGGGAAGGGATGTGAAGGGTAAACCAAAGGAGGAGGCTGCAATGCTTGGTAAGAAATGTACGCATTATCCTGCCCATGTAATTGTAACCCCTCTGTACAGTATGTTCACAAATAAAATTAAATTAAAAAAAAAAAGAATGTAAGGGCCAGAGTTGACACTCTAGTAGTAGCATAAGAAGAAGAAAAGAAATGGCAACCCAATTCTCCCATTTTCTCAAGTCACTGATTGTCTTTCATCCTTGCCAGACAAAACTCCCACAAGAGCTAGGATTATTTTTTTTTTTTGGTGCCAGTCCTGGGGATTGAACTCAGGGCCCAGGCACTGTCCCTTAGCTTTTTCACTCAAGGCTGCTGCTCTACCACCTGAACCACACCTCTACGTCCACCTTTATTGGTAGTTAATTGGAGATAAGAGTCTCAAGGACTTTCCTACCCTGGCTGACTTCAAACCACAGTCCTCAGATCTTAGCCTCATGAGTAGCTAGAATTATAGGCATGAGCCACCAGCACCCAGCTGAGAGGTGGGATTGTATTTTCTTGGTGATACTAGGGACTAAACCCTTATGTGTTCTGGGTAAGTGGTCTTCCACTTGAGGAGTGCCTCCCAGAGCTTTTGTTTGTATTTTGTCTTTGAGAAAATTTGGTCATTACCTTTTCCCAGCCTGGCCTCAAGCTCAAGATTCTCCTGCCTCAGCCTCCAGAGTAGCTAGAATTAAAGGTATGTACCACCAAGCACAGAAGAATTTTGTTCATTTATATTGCCATTTCCAAAAAAATAAAATCCCTAGTAAATAAAATCCCTAGTACAATAAGTAGTGGTACTGGGGTTTAAACTCAGCTCCTCAGGTTCTTTACTGATGAGCCACATCTCCACCCCTAAGTAAATGAGCTATTAAGACAAATGGAAAATGCTTCTTGTCATTCCACTACTCTATAACATCATTAGCATACTGGTTGAATTTATTATACATTATAACATTAGGTTCCTTTCCAAGGCTGTTTCTTCCATGAGTTGATATGTCTAATATTATGAGGTTATCAGAATATTTCAAGTTTTATACTTGAAGTTTTGAATGCAGTTTGACATTTGGTAGTATTTGTGTCCCTTAGTATATCTATAAGATGTTTTCTTTGGAAGTGGTACTGTGGCTCAAGTGGTAGAGCACTAGCCTTGAGCACAAAGAGGATCAGAAACAGCACCCAGGTCCTGAGTTCAAGCCTCAGGACCAGAAAAAAAATCCCCCTAAAATATTTCCTTTGCTCTCTATCTTTGTCATTCTCATATAGGAACTTTAGAATCATCAACAAATTTATAAGTTATTTGGAGGACCAGGAATGTGGCTTAGTAGTAGAGTGCTTGCCTAGCATGCATGAAGCACTGGGTTTGATTCCTCAGTACCACATAAACAGAAAAAGCTGGAAGTGGGAGCAAAAGAAGCTCAGGGACAGTGCACAGGCCTGAGTTCAAGCCCCTGAGTTCAAGAACTGGCAAAAAAAAAAAAAAAAAAAGATATTTGGAGCACAGTGGCAGAGTGCTTGCTTAGCAGTCACGTGAGGCCCTGAGTTCAATCTCCAGCAACACACACATACAGACACACACACAAATAAATCCACAATTTTGTCTGTTCAAAATGAGAATGAGGGAGCCAGGCACCGATGGCTCATACCTGTAAACCTAGCTACTCAGGAGGCTGAGATCTGAGGATCCCTGTTCAAAGCCAGCCTAGGCAGGAAAGGCCATGAGGCTCTTATCTCCAATAAACCAGTCAAAAAACTGGAAGTGGCGCTGTGGCTCAAGCAGTAGAGCACTAGCCTTGAGCTGAAGAGCTGAGGGGCAGTGCCCAAGCCCAGAATTCAAGCCCCACAACTGACCAAAAAGAGAGAGACAGAGAGACAGAGACAGAGAATGTGGGAGCTGGGAAGGTGGCTCAGTGATAAAGTGCTTGCCTTGTATGCATAAGGCCCTGGGTTCAACTCCTTAGCACCACATAAGCAGAAAAAGCCAGAAGTGG